TTTACAGAGTACTCCACACAAATCCCCTCCTCCTGGGCTGTATTGAGAAATATTGCCATGCCATTGTTTCCATAGTCATTATCAGTATTCACAGTTCCAACCCAAGACCAGCCTAAGAGCTTGACTATGTATGCAAGTGCTCTGCTCTGGTGGTAGTCACTAGCAATAGTCCTGAAGAAAAAGGGGTAATCTTTCCTATTACTGAGGCATTCACATGTGGCTGAGTGACTTATCTGAAAAAGAAAGCACAGGAAACAGTGAAACAGTAATGTGCATGAAGATAGTGGAATATATTTAGTGTTATTGCCCCTTACCACTGGAATTTTAAAAGGTCCTGTAGTTCTGGACAGAATCACTGTTGCAGAAGACTCTGTTTCTCCAATGATCGCATGTATCGGAGACTGTTTGCATATGTGTGTGTCCCCTGCTGCAACATTATGACCATTCATCAATGCCATAGTTGCACTCATAGAAGAGAGTCTTGAACCACATGTATCATAGATTCTGTAGCCAATAGAAACATTTGGAAGCAAACTTTCACTTCGGTTAATCTCCTCAATGGCAAAAATCATGGTCTGTGCCCTTCTGAAATCTCTCAGATTCACACTGTTAACAACAAGTAGGCAAAATACACAACAATAATAATAATAAATACCCAAACGCACTGCAGCAAAATAATAATTGTGTGTGTGTGTGTGAGAGAAACTCTAGCTGTATTAAATACATTATCTTTGAAATGTAACAAACCTGGAGCATGACAGAGGCTGAGGTTTTTTTGTAAACGCAAATGAAGGCATCGTCTCTATGCTTCGGATTGGAAAAAGTGCTCCAATAGTCATGTCTCCATCCTTGGATAACAGCGGGTACTTCGGGTCTCCTATCATGTGGCATACATACTTTTCTGCTTTTGTATGAAATTGATGGAAAAGAACGATTGTGTAAAGAAAGAAAAGCATCCCAAAGATTGAGCTCAACTGCATATGTCAGATGCATTTGACCTGATAAATAATTTTCATTTTTATAGGCACAATTAATATGGATGATTGTTTGTGAACGTAGCCAGTGACTTCATAGGGCAGTACATGAGGCAGGTTAAGTAGGAGTGGAATAGAGTAAAGGTCATTTCAAAGCATCTATGTCAAAGAATGGACAAGTGGATCAATGCTGCACAATTAAATAGACATTAACACCATCACATTTTCTGCATTTCAAGAAGTGATGTGAAATGTGGCCAAGAATTGTCTCATACTCGGGAGTTTGTGCTTTGTAGGAGTGAACACACACACTCACACACACACACACACACACACACACACACACACACACACACACACACACACACATACATATTGCGGTGAGCAGCCATTTTTGCTGCAGTGCCGGAGGAGCAGTTGGGGGTTCAGTGCCTTGCTCAAGGGTCTCACCTCAGTCGTGGTATTGAGTATTATTTGTAGTGCTTGGTCTTGTGCGTGGTTGATATAGCACCACCAAATGCAGGCTTGGGTGCGGGTGAGGTTTCTCCAATCTGCACGAAATTTGGTATGGTCATTGATGACATATTGTAGGACAAAGTTCACTTGTTTTTTTCTGACATAAGGAAGTCATCCATGTTAGATGGAATGTGTGATTTTTACATTTTCACTCACTGATATGAGGGGCTTACCATAGTTAACATATAAATTTGTCTTAGGACATCTTTTGATTTGATACTCAAATTCAGGTGAGATGTGCCTCGTCAGCACCACAGCACCCCCTAGTTTGGAAATGCATATTTAATGCATTTGGAATACAAAAATTTGCACTCATTGAAGCTTAGCAGGATTTAGCAGTTCTTTGGTCATTTGTTTTGGGTGTGGTCAGTTAATTCCATAGCGCCCCTACCATTCCCCCCCCCCCCAAAAAAAAAAGATTGTGTTGTGGTTGTCACATTCTGTCTCATATTCACACATTTTGGTAGGGACATTGCCCTCAATGTGACAAACATATTTCCTATTAACTTTTATTAGCTCCACTCAACAGGAGGTCGGACATTTTGTATTGTTTTAAAATGGCATTCTGTGGGTTTTAAAACTAAATTGTGAAGAAACTTAAATTAAGAAACATAAAAACTGGGAAACAGGAAATGTCATATATCTTCTATGTGAATCCTGTTGTTTACATCAAACTTCACACACATATGTTTGGCTTTGTGCACAGATCACTTTGATGTGAGTAGAGTGGGCCACGATTGTAGTGCCACCAATTGGCATAAGGAAGTAAGCCATTTTAGCAAATTTTTAAATATCCCTTTTTCCTCTTTCTGTAAATTGCTTCAGATGTTTTTATAATAATGACAATGCAGAGTCCAAGTCCAGATTTCAGATTGTTAAAGGGGACATTAGATGCCCATTTTCTACAAGTTGGTATGATTCTTTAGGGTCTTCATGAAATGTCTGCAACATACTTTGGTTAATATTCCTTAATGGTTGTGTAAAAAAACACTATTTTTACCTTCTCAAAAACAACTCTGTTCACAGCAACCCATTTCAGTGCATGTATCTTTAAATGATAATGAGCTCTGCTCTCCCTGCCCCTCTCTTCTGTAGCAGAGGAAAGACGATTTGCAAATAATCATAAAAATATAGAATGTGATATTTACTTCTTCTGGAGATGCAGCTGAATCACAAACAGTAAGTTTTAACTTTTTAGCAAAACCTGCCTTGAATTGTCCCTCCTTCAGAAAGCAGTCTGGAGTAAAATGATCTGTTTTGACATAAACAAATTTAGGTGTATTTGGTGGAGCATTACTATCAAAAACAAAACAATATATATATATATATATATATATATATATATAGGATTGATATTAAAGCACTTTTACTCGTTTATAAATCACTCAATGGCCTAGGACCTAAATACATAGCAGATATGTTCACTGAATATAAACCTAACACACTAATTGACATACTTTTTCAATAAGATAAAAGTGGGTTTTGTTCAAAGTAGCTATTATCCACATAGATTTTTGATATTAATATTTTTTGGTAATTCATTAAAGGGGTCATATGATGCAATTTTAAATTGTCCTTTCTCTTTCGAGTGTTACAAGCTGTTCGTGCATAGATAAGATCCCTAAAGCAAAGACTAAAGTCTCAAACCCAAAGAGATATTCTTTATAAAAGTTAAGACTCATCCACGCCTACCTAAAACGGCTCGTTCTAACACGCCCCCACATGTCTACGTCACTGTGTGGGAAGATTTGCATAACACCTCCCAAATGTTCACGCAAAGAAAGAAGGCATAACTTTGATTCTCGCTGTAGTATTGTTGCCACCGCCGCCATGTTGTGGAGGCGCTGTGTGTTTCGTTGTGACACAACTAGAAATCAGTGGTTAAGTTGTATTTACAACACTGTTCCAGAACAGTTCAACCCAAATATTCAGATGTGTGTAGCGCATTTTATGGAGGACTGTTTCCTGAGAGAGTAGCCTACAATGCATCTGTGCACAAAGGCTGTTTCTATAAAGTGGGGCAATTCCAACTTTGCAAAGACAGTCTGGTGCTTCTGACTCACAGCCTGTAAGTATGTTTTCATATTTAAAGAATATGCCACTGATGATTCAAACGCAAGTTTTGAGCAGTGTAGAGTAGCGCTTGTTGCTTGTCGTTTCTCCGATCACAAATGCAGACATGGTTTTATGTTTACGCATCGCAATACGCAACGCATAAAAAGACAGTATAAGTCATTATAATCAGTAATTATGTCCCCACTGGATGCAACAAATGCCTTGTTTGTAATGGGTTTTATTGGTTTTGTCTTGTCTTGTCCGGGACATGGCATCACAGTATGGTAGGGGCGTAACATTTCTGTCACATGCTTGAGGTATCACAATGCACTGGATAGCTGGCCAATCAGAGCACACCTCACTTTTCAGACCAATAAGCTTTGTAAAAATCGACGCGTTTCAGAAAGGCAGGGCATAGAGGAGCAACAATAAACACATTGCATTACACCAAATACTCAACATAATGTTCTTTTTAGAAATGTCATATGGCCCCTTTAATTATCGCCGGCTAAAAATTAACTAGTAACTAGTACTCTTGAGTAGCTTTTGAAAGGAGTACTTTGTACTTTTACTTAAGTACTGTTTTGACACCAGTACTTTTACTTGTAACTGAGTATTATTTCAGCAATGTAACAGTACTTGTACTTGAGACAATTTTCAATACTCTTTCCACCACTGTGTGAAACACATGTATATTCCCATGTTTTTACATGGGTTTCACATAGGAAAATACCATTGGTTTCCATTGGTTACCATTGGCTCCTCTATGCCCTGACAACTTTAAAGGTGCTTTTCTGAATATTTAGATTTTTTTGCACCCTCAGATTCCAGATTTTCAAATAGTTGTATCTCGGCCAAATATTGTCCCTGTCATAAACCATACATTAATGAAAAGCTTATTTATTCCACTTTCAGATGATGAATAAATCTCAATTTCGATGACTGGTTTTGTGGTCCAGGGTCACATTTGCTCAAAATTTCACTTTGGTTCACCAAGGAAAGATGAAGATTGTAAAAGTTTTAAGGTTTAAAACACTACACAAAACATGACTCTCAGAAAACTCAAAAGTATTGCGCATGTATTGTCATTTATGAGGTGAAGATCTCCAGACCAGAACAATGCAAGAACTTGCTTTGTTGTTCTGACAGGCAGAAATCAACAGATATAATCATCACAGAAAATAAAGTATGTGCAAAATTTTCTAGGAGCCATGAGTCGCATGTCACTGAATTTCAGCTTTTGGGTGAGCTGTTCCTTACAAATAAATGACAAGTTAGTTTGAACAAAACAACACAGATATAGTACCACAGATGTAGTAAAACCAATCAAACGTTGGCGAACTGACTAAACAACAGTACAAGTAAAAACACTTTTGTATTTTGATGAAATACATAAAAGTCGTACAGTCAGTTATTCAAGGAGACTCACCGTGCAGGTTCTGAAAAAGCCAAACACACAGGAAGGACAGTGGAATGGCTCGGTGTGTAATTCCTATAAAACAAAAAAAAATTGAAGAGTGTACTGTTGACTGTGAAGTTACCTCAACAAACATGATTTTAAATATTCCAATTAGACATATATACACAAGTTAACGTGTTCACATCTTTAATGCAACCAGAATAAAAAAATAGCAAAAAAACTAAATATCAAATAGTCAAAATATCAAATAGCAAAAACAAAGTGGACTACTTTCAGTGACAGAATGTGTAATTTTGAAAAAGTCTTTACCATTCAGTGATGTGGCTCTGTTGAAATGCTTATCTCTAAAAGTAAATAGAAAGATATCAAGAACACAGTACTGACTGTATTTCCACAGTGGGTCATTTAGTCTTTTAAACTATCTTGTCAAAACAATTAGTTGCTAATTATATATGTAGCCATGTACTCTCAATGACTTGAGCGAGCAGGAGCCTAAAAAAAACTATAAGTTAAATGAATAACCTGGCAAATTAATGTAGCATTATTGCATTGACTAGGCTAGATTTGACAATAGATATGTATGACATTTAAAGTGTTAAATAGTTACACTGGCCTGGTGGATTTATGCACGGTGATTTATCTACTTGCTGAGTTTATTCACATAGTTATAATTGCATAATACTTAATCATCGTCTTAAATACAAAAATACAACGTTTTGAAAATAGCTACATAAAATCGTTGAAAAAGGACATTATACATTAAACAGTGTAAAACGGCCAGCATGTGGCGGCAATTTACCATCTTCAAGAGCGAGTAATCAAACAGCTGATTCATTCATTCATTCAATGGTAACGGATCGCTAGATATGCGTACCCAGCTAACAAAAATGAGTTGTCAGAACGTTTTGCTAACATTCCTATTAAGTTATGAAAACGTTATTTCGGAATGTTTTGTACACATTGAAAACGTCCAGTTTTCCATTCCATTCTATCATCTTGAAAACGTTATGAAAATGTTATTAGTGAATGTTGTTTAAACGTTTACATTTAAAACAATTTTAATGTATTAGGAATGTTTCTTCTTGGATTATGTGAACGTTATAGAAACATTCCATTTTATCATCTTGAAAAACGTTATGAAAATGATATTAGTGAATGTTGTTTAAACGTTTAAATTTTTTTTTTTTTTATGTATTAGGAACGTTTCTTGGTTTATGTGAACGTTATAGAAAAATTCCATTCTATCATCTTGAAAACGTTATGAAAAAAATAGTTTCTGAATGTTTCTAAACGTTATATAAAATATGCAAATATCCTCCAAACATTGCCCTGGGAAAGTTTTTTATAAACAAATATTAATTCAAACAATAACATTTGATAAAACATTTCTAATTATATTTGTCAACACCAAAATCTGTAAGACACTACACAAACATTTTTCATATTTTAATATAATTGATAATTTTCATTCATATTGTATTTGTCTACCTTTTGACAAGGATAAGTACACTGTAACATACAGTACATCTAAATGAAAACAATAACATAACTGATATCTTACTTTACTTTCACATTTTTATATACTCAAACATTCCACAAACTGAAACATTCCAAATCTTACATAACAAAATACATTCTGTGTGTAAAACAACTAATTAAGTGTGTTCTGTGTATCTTCTTTTCCACAAGTCTCTGCTTCGAGCTGAAGTGACACCTTAGATTGTAGCATCTATAGAAACAAAACATAATTAGTATACAGTATATTCTGTACTAAATTTGCATTGTTTTCTTTATTAATTTTTTACAAACTACAAAAGCCTTACCTTATCTCGGTGTGGTGCAAACTTCAGTGTTTCTAATATGAAGTCCTCAATTACTTTTTCCAGCACCTTGGTGTGTGTTCGACGACAGGCATCTTAAAATCCAGTTAAGATACACAAAACCCAAACATGTTACCACATTACATATTTCCAGTTCCTGGAAATTCTTCTTTCCCTTGCGGCCTTTAAGACTATATTGGGCCCATAGAGCATTCGTCCCGAGTTTTCTAAGTAGTCTTCTAACCGACTCCCCAGGCGTGTTGCCTCCCATGAGGCTCAGCCAATCGATCTGAAAATAAAAGTAATGCTATATTATGCTGCACAGCAATAACTAACAGCAATATCTGAACCAAGAAAAATAAAACTGTGTGCATAATTATATAAAATAATATGGAAAACACTGGGTTGTTTTGGTGTTTGGTTTGTTGTGCTTAGCCCACTACACCACTCCACCTCACCAAAGACCACACACAGCTGGAGTTACAACAATGCTTATGACACCGTGTTCCAAGTGCAAACTCTTACAACTTTGAAGTACTAACCACTCTCTTTTTATAGGCTGGATCCTTCAACATGGTGCACAAATCTTCCAGTTCCGTTGGTGTGTTACAGGGCTTTTCGAGAATTTCTCGTCCTTCGGGTGGTTCAGAACACATGTTAGTCTTTAGAAGGCGTTCAATGTTTTGGAGTCTCTCATCGACTTGATTGAGACGAAGGAGTACAGCCCGCTCAAACTTTGATGACTCTGGATACCATACACTCCATTAAATCTCATAGACAAAACATACAATTACTCTTGTTTATGTAATAAATGCCATACTGTTACAAACAGAAGTTTTTTTTTCAATTTGGTGTATACTTACCTTGACTTGCCACTGATGCCCTCTCTGTGTTGTGGTCTTCAGATGGAGTGTTCATGCAAAACTCTGCATTTAAAAAAAAATATATAGTAATAATAAGTAAGTAACTGATAAATTACACCAGTACATTTTAATTATGCAGGCTTAATAGGTTAGATTACTATCACTGTCTTGTTGGGTTGTGACCAATGGCTGGTTGTCAGTTGTGCTTTGAATTATATTTCCTGATAAATCCAAGGCATGATTTAGAAAATACACATGCAAATGCACATGCAAGTTACACATGACCCACTGGAAAACTATGCCGATAGCTGTTTTTTATGCTTACCATGGGCATGACTCTCAACCACTGCCTTCAACCTGTTGCTTATGGCAGGACTCCTCAAGGAGAAGCCTATTTTAAAGGGGTCATATGATGCTTGTTTAAAGATCATTGTTTTGTGTATTTGGTGTAACAGAATATGTTGACATGCTTTAATGTAAAAACACATTCTTTTTCAAATACTGTACATTAATGTAGGTCCTCTATGCCCCGCCTCTCTCAAACGCTTAGTTTTCTACAAAGTCCCTCCTTCCGACAAGCGCAGTCTGCTCTGATTGGCCAGCTGACCCAGTGCATTGTGATTGGCCCGAACACCGCAAGCACTCGTCGAAAATGTAACGCCCCTTACCATAATCACGAGCTTCATCTTTCAAAATAAATGTAAAGACAGAGCCCGAAAGGGGAACAGAGTCGCGTGACAGACACAGTGATGAAGCTGGTATGTATTTGCAGCACACAAGCCACGGTTAAGACAGCTGACTCCACAGTGATGTGTACTCTATGTGCACAAATATATGTGCTATTCTCTTAATTACTGAATTATTTAATATCGATAGCAAACTAATAACCATTGCACAAACATTACTCAGGAAGGTCTGCTTGGGATAAATTTTGTCCCTGAAAATCTCTCAGGTCTTTTCCTTTTAATCAGTTCATCATCCTCATCATCTAAGAAAAATAAATATATTTTTATATTTTGAGATAAATCAAAAGAAACAACAGCAGGCTATTCGCAATGACAACACTCTTGTCTTGTCAAGTTATTAAACTCACCATCATCAACAGTCTTCGAGCAGGCTCGTCTTCACTCTCCAAATCTGATGAAAACATGGCATGGTATACTTTTCGCTTTCCTTCGGCATAAGTCTCTGTCATGAAAATATGTACAGTATTACGCTATGAAAAAAACCCATGCCTTCCCGACAGTGGAAACACAGTTAATGTTAATTAATAAGTATTTAACGTTAAAACTGAATGTTATGAAGCGTGTAAGATTCAGTAATTTATCAAATATAAAGCAGCAAAGCCTGTTTGCACACAAATAGGAGTCAATTTAACATAGGCCTACCATTTAAAAAGTAAATACCACATCACAACAAGTAGCCTATGATTGTCTCCCGCAGAAATGACTGCAAGCTTCGAAACTATTAGCTACCCAGTCATTCAAATTTTGCATATATAACAAAAAAACACAACCTGAGGTCTAATCGACTCACCTGTTAGAATGGCTGCAATCTGGCCTCAGAAGTAGACATATATAAAAGTGAGCTGCAGATTTTGAATTCCATTGGTTTGAAAACGGCGCTGCATGGAGCATATACACCGTGATGACATCAGAACCTGGAAGTCGGCTTGTTTGACTTGAAGTGCACTGCACAGACCGATCGGTGTATAACCTGAAGTACTGCGAGATCGATTCTCTTGCAGTACTTTAGTTTGGTGGCCTAATTGTTCGTGTGGCTGTGGTGGCCTAGTGGTTAGGGAACAGACATATGTATATGGCCGACCGGTGTTCAATTCCCGACTCGACGTTCTGTGCTGTTCCTGTTGTGCTCTCTCCACCCAACACTTTTCTGTCAATCTCCACTGTCCTGTCCACTTCAGCGCAAAAAGTATCGTTCTTATGTTGTTTTAAGAATGTTTTTGCTCAACATCATGGGAACATCAGTCAAGTAAAAATAAGATCATAAAGATGTTACAAGAACATTGTTATGAGAACGTTTTCGCTCAACATCATGGGAACATCAGTCAAGTATAGATAACATCATAAAGACGTTACAAGAACGTTGTTATGAGAACGTTTTCGCTCAACGTTACGGCAATATATTTTAACTATGAAAACATTATAAGACTGTTCCAGAAACATTATGTCAGGAAGGTTTTTTGCTAACATTTACATAACTTTTACATAACGTTAGTGAAAGTTATGGGAACGTTCCCTGTTAGCTGGGTATACAGTGGTGGCTGATTGAGTGGCAGCTGCCTCTTGCAGTGCAAAGATTTTACTCCCTGTCCAAAACAGATTTCCCCCACGGTCAAAGTGGGACATTCGCGTGAAAATTCGCCGACCAATGGGGACTGTGGGAATGAGCTTTAACCAGCTTATTTCCAGTCGAAATGACCGAACATACAATTATGCACAAACAGGACGGTAAGTTACAAACGTATGATGGAGAAAAGTATGAAATGTTTTAAAATATAACACATTACAGCTATAAAAACTGAAATTTAACATTAAATGTGTAAACACTACTAATTAAAGACATTTTTGCTTACCTTTTCCTCAGCGTAGAGTGGTAGATGACCGTTATGTTTCGAATGATGCGCATGCGCAGAACTCTAACTTCTTCAGTCAAAATTTCAAAAGGGAATAAGCGTTATCAAAGACTATTTGTGTCACGGTTCATGGGTCTGTGTGCTCATTCTATGTGTGTGTGTGTGTTATCCGCTCCGTGTGCTCGTCAGTGTTGCCTAGTTACCACGCACCTGACAAGCTGATCAGAGCGGTCACAGGTGTAACTCATCTGCACTGCCTATATCTGGCTGACGTTTCTGTGGAGTGTTGTCAGATCGTTGTTGCTCATGTCTTGTCTGGTTCTCTGTCAGACCTTCTCATTCCTGAGTGTATTCCCGCCGGTTACTGGTTCCCTGGAGGGTTTGGACTGCTCGGAGTATTCCCTGGCTGAGCTGAGACTCTGCACTGCCGGGTTACCTGCACTTCTACTTAATGTAGTTGGAGTTGTCTAATAAAGACTTCCTTTCACTCGCAATTGGATCTTGTGTTTCTGTTTCATGACAGAATGATCTGACCATTATGGATCTAACGAGTGCATCAGATTTAAGAGACTTTTTGGATCACAGTAATTCACGCATGGATCGCCAGGAGGAACAGATGGCAGCCTCTAATCGCGCTGTTCAAGCCCTGGTCTCTCAGGTCTTGGAGCTTACCACCCAGCTACAACGTTTCCAGACTGAGTCCGTCCAGCAACACACTGCACCTAATCCACCTGTGTTTTCTGTTCCAAATCAGGCCATTCGTTTCACCGAACCCCGCCTCCAGCTTTTTACTCTGGTGAGTCCCAGCAATGCCGCTCTTTTCTTGCCAAATGTTCTCTGTATATCTCTCTTCAACCATCGTCGTTTCCTACGGAGAAATCGAAGATAGCGTTTGTCATAACGCTGCTCTCTGGACGGGCGGCTCTCTGGGGAACTACCGTTTGGGAGCAGAGGCTTCCTTGCTGCATGTCATTTCAGTCATTTCAGTCATTTTCAGATGAGATCAAGAAGGTTTTTGATTGGGCAGCTTCGGGCAGAGAGGCGGCTCGTTTTCTGGCAGAGTTATGGCAGGGAGATCGGAGCATCGCGGATTACTCCATTGAATTCCGCACCCTGGTGGCGGAGTGCCGTTGGAATCTTGAAGCGCAGTGGGACATGTTTTTACATGGACTTTCTGATTATATCAAGGATGAGATCTACGCACTGGAGTTACCTACAACGCTAGCTGGATTAATCGATCTGGCTATTCGGGTGGACACCTTTCTGTCATCTCCTCTGACGCGGACGTTTCCTTCTCCGAACCGGAACCAATGCAGATGGGCTGATCCCGTCTTTTCCTGGAGGAGAAGTAACTAGACTTCCTGTCAAGTTGCAGTGGTCCTCAGCCACTCATGACTGTCAGGCTTTAATTGACTCTGGTGCTGAGGGTAATTTTTTAGACTCTGATCTTGCTTTCAGACTTAAACTCCCTGTGGTTGCTATCTCCCAGCCTATTGCTGTCCATGCTCTCAATGGTCTATCTCTTCCTTCCATCACTCTCACAACAGGTCCAGTAAGACTCCTCACTTCTGGTAATCACACTGAGATCATTCATTTTCTTTTAACTGACACGTCTGTTACTCCAGTAGTTCTTGGGCATCCCTGGCTTGTGCTTCATAACCCTTATATAAATTGGAGTAAGAACTCTATTGTCTCTTGGAGTGAGAGTTGTCATGCTGCTTGTTTGTTGTCTGCCTGTTCTTCTGTGTCCTGTTCTGTGTTTCAGGATGAGGATATGGACCTGTCAAATGTGCCCAGTGAGTACCTCGACCTGAAGAGAATGTTCAGTAAGTCTCAAGCTGCTTCTCTACCTCCGCATCGACCCTACGACTGTGCAATAGATTTATTACCAGGTACGTCTCTGCCTAATGGCAAACTTTATTCGCTTTCCGCCATGGAGAAATATATTTCTGATTCTCTAGCAGCCAAGATCATTCACCCTCCTTCGCCGGCGGGGGGTTTTTTTCGTGAAAAAGACGGGTCTCTTTGTCCCTGTATCGACTATCGAGGGCTGAAAAACATCACGGTGAAGAATACATATCCTTTGCCGTTGATGTCTTCTGCCTTTGAACGTCTGCAGGGGGCGTCCTTTTTCATGAAATTGGACCTCTGCAACGCTTATCATTTGGTGCGCATAAGGGAGGGGGATGAATGGAAGACTGCTTTTAATACCCCCAGGGGGCACTTTGAATATCGTGTTCTTCCCTTTGGGCTTTCCAACGCCCCCGCAGTCTTCCAGGCACTCGTCAATGACGTGTTGAGAGATATACTAGATCAGTTCATTTATATCTACCTGGAAGACATACTGATATTTTCTCACTCTCTCCAGGAACATGTTCAACACGTCAGGCGAGTGCTTCAGAGGCTGTTAGAGAATGGTCTTTATGTCAAGGCGGAGAAATGCGCTTTCCATGCACAGTCTGTTCCTTTTTTGGGTTACATCGTGTCGGTCGAGGGGATGCGCATGGATCCGGACAAGATTCAGGCTGTGGTTGCTTGGCCAACTCCAGATTCCCGCAAGGCCCTGCAGAGGTTTCTGGGCTTTGCCAATTTTTACCGGCGTTTTATTCGCAATTTCAGCCAGCTAGCTGCCCTTTTGACTGCCTTAACCTCCACCAAAACTCCATTCAGGTGGTTCAGCGCAGCAGAAGCTGCGTTTGCCAAACTGAAGAGCCGCTTTGTTTCAGCTCCCATCCTTATCGCCCCTGATCCCTCCTGGCAGTTTGTGGTGGAGGTTGACGCGTCAGAGGTGGGGGCTGGTGCCATCCTATCCCAGCGTTCTTCCTCGGATGGTAAGATGCATCCTTGCGCGTATTTTTCTCACCGTTTGTCTCCCGCTGAACGCAACTATGATATTGGTAATAGAGAGCTGCTGGCAGACAAGCTTGCCTTGGAGGAATGGCGTCATTGGTTAGAAGGTTCGGAGGTTCCTTTTGTCGTCTGGACGGATCATAAGAATCTTGAGTATATCAAGTCCGCTAAAAGATTGAACTCCAGGCAGGCTCGGTGGGCTTTATTTTTCAGTCGTTTCGATTTTTCTACTTCGTATCGGCTGGGCTCTAAGAACATCAAGCCCAATGCGTTATCCCGTATTTTTGACCATTCAGAGCGCCCATCTTCTCTCGAGCCCATTGTGCCACAGAAGATTTCTTTCTGTAGTCACATGGGAGATTGAATCGAAGGTCCACACGGCCTCTCAAGGGGTAACGCCTCCACCCGGATGCCCACCGGGTCGTTTGTTTGTGCCAGAGACTTTACGGTCCGATGTCATTGTTCCAAGGTGGCTTGTCATCCTGGGGTGAGTCGTACTATGTTTCTTATTAAACAACGGTTCTGGTGGCCACCTATGGCTCGCGACATACAATGTTTTGTTTTGACTTGCTCTGTCTGTGCCGTTTCTAAGATTTTCCAATCGACCCCCTGCTGGACTCCTTCAGCCGCTGTCAGTTGCCTCGAGACCCTGGTCCCACATTTCGCTAGATTTCGTCACAGGTCTCCCGCCCTCAAGTGGGAACACGGTGGTTTTGACCGTGGTGGACCGGTTCTGGAAGGCTGCTCATTTCATCCCTCTGCCTAAATTACCATCTACCAGAGAGACAGCGGTTGCTGTCATTGACCACGTTTTTCGCATTCATGGCCTCCCGACGGACGTGGCCTCTGACAGGGGGCCTCAGTTTGTCTCTAAATTTTGGAGTGAGCTTTGTCATTTTTTGGGGTGACGGTTAGTCTTTCTTCTGGGTATCATCCCCAGAGTAATGGTCAGACCGAGAGAGCCAATCAAGACCTAGAACGTATGTTGCGATGTTTGGTCTCTCAGAAACCATCCTCTTGGAGTCAGCAGCTTTCATGGGTTGAGTACGCACATAACTCATTACCTGTATCTGCCACGGGCCTGTCGCCGTTTGAGTGTAGTTTAGGGTACCAGCCACCTATTTTTCCCAGTCTGGAATCCGAAGTTGCGGTTCCCTCTGCCCACGCATTTGTCCAGAGGTGTCGATGCACCTGGAGCAGGGCCAGACAGACCCTCCTCCAGGTGGGGGTGCGCACCAAGGCCAAAGCTGATCGTCACCGGTCGATGCCTCCCGTTGTCGTTGTTGTGTAATTTTATTGAAGTATTATGTGAAAATGAAAGTA